AAAACTTTTTTTTGCTCCTTTAGACAACGGCAACTAAATTTATTAAAGCAAAGTAAAACAGAAATATATTGGTACAAAATGATAAAGAAGAAGAAGCCGAAAATTACTTAAATAGTATCCCTATAAGCATAGACAAAAAACCAAAGAAACCTCTCAAAAAAACAAGCAAAAAAAACTTAAAAGTAAAAATAAAATAAAAAACCAAGAAGATGATTACAGAATGTTTAAAAACAGAAACCTCCTCCTCCTCTTCTTTCATCACTCCACTAAATGACGATTTTAAAACAAACCAAAAAAATTTCTTCCTTCTTTTCCCTTTCTTCCTTTCGTTGCTTCAAAATCCGGAATACCAAGACAACAAAAAATAAGAATGAGAATGAATAGATGTAAAAGCAAACCACAAGTATAAAAAACGGCAGTAATGCAAATCTTTTCTTGATGCCATATTTTCCTAATACATCTTCAAAAACAAAAAAAAAATAGAAAAAAAAGCTACTTCTTTTCCGCACTTAAAAGCAGGAAAAAATAATTATACTAAATGAGGGAATAATGTCCTAAGCAGAATAAAACAGGAACAAATATTTGGAACAAACAAAGACAAAAAAAACATTGGGGAACTCCAAATGTCAACAAAGATATATGGAAAGCAATAACGACAAAAAAATTGTTAAATTAATGCCGTCAAGTAAAAGTATCATGGCTATGTTAATAAAAAATCGTAACAGCAGCAATAAGCATTTATTTTTACATCCATATCATTCACCTTCCGTTTCCGCAATACCGTCATCCATCAACAATACCCACCACTGCCGCCCCTTACCAATAACAATAACCAACTTAGCCTTCTTCTTCTTCTTCCTTTTCTCATCCATCCTCCGGCCTTCTTTCATTCATTTTCTTTCTCGTTCTGGCTTTTTTTCTTCTTTTTTCTTTTTCTTTACAATTTACAATAACAACGACAACATCAATAACGGCAACCATGATAACAGTCATAATGATGATAGCGACGATGATTGCCACGGTGACGATGGTGGTCCTGATGTTGATTATAATGACACGTCATCCACGATATATCCAAAATGAAAACGCCTTTCAATCACTACAGAAGTCCCTCAGCAGTATAATAGGATAACAAAATATTGCAGAAGAAACATTTACACAGATGTCAGACACCATAAAAGACTAAAAAAAATGACGCCATTCCAAATGACGACGACGACAACCACCAAGATGATGATGATAATCATGGTGCTGATGATGATGATGATGACGATGATGATGTAAGGCAAAGAGATTAGAACCCGCATATGGAAATTAACTTAAGCAAGTAGCAAATAAAATAAAAAATATAAACAAGCAAGCATTATTTTCTTCTATCCCTAACCATCTACGACTGCAGTATAGCAAACAAATAAACAAAAAAAAAAAAAAAAAAAAAAAAAA